TTAGAAGTATTTAAACATATTACTATTGAAAACTATTAAACTAAGGCTAAAACTATCAGAGGCAGCTGAATCTGACATTCTTGCACCATCCAATCCATTCTCCTCATTACACTCAGGAAGAGCCCCAAGAAATCATGGCTCCTCTGATACACTTCCAGCAGTTTCCATGACAGCATGGCTCTGGTATTGGCTCCTCTCCCCATTGTTTGGTGCCACCTTTCTCTTCTGCTAACCACGTGGGTCTCTGACAACTCCTCAAGTTCACTAGGCTTTTTCCTGCTTTGGGACTTTTGCTATATCTCTCTTCCCTTTCCCTGGAGAACAAACTCAGTGTGGGTTAGGTCTCTACCTGGACTCCTCTCCTCGCAGATGCCCTTGGCCACTCTCCTCTTTCTAAAGCAGTCCACCCTTTTCTAACTCTTATTTTATTCCCAGCCACAGCACAGCACCTTGGTCACTCCCTTTGCAGAGCTGTTCACAATCTGTAATTATTCTGCTTGTTTATTTCCTGCTACTGGCTACCCTCACATGAACTCCATGAGAACAGGGACCACGTTTTTGTGTTCACAGCTCAATCCCCAGAGGCCTGCAAAGTGCCTGGTACTTAGTGTTCATTGAATGTTGGAATGAAATAATGGGCAGGGCCTCTATTAAATCCATTTTAGTGACTGCCTAGAGAATGGCATGATTAACAACTAACATATCCCTGTCTACCTGACCCCAAATACATAATAATTCCACAATATTTGCTGAATTTCTACTCAGAGTCTGTTTTTGTGCTAGGGCTTGAGGATACTGAGGGAGAAGACACAAAGTCATGTACTCAAGGAGGGGCCTATGGTCTGGAGGGAGACCTGGATGTGAGGCTAGAGCACTGGGACTGGTTGAGTTCTACAGCAGAGGGCAAATGGGACATCATCATTGTCCTTAGAAGGCAGCAGTCGCTGAGTTTGCCTTTTTTGGACCCAGTGACTTGGAGCTCTTAGTCCAGCCAATACTCTGTCATCACAGAAAGGGCCACTCCAGCAAAAGGACCAAGAGTAACCTCTTTTGGGGGCGTGCCTAAAGCCTGGCGGAAGTGGTCTGCAGAACCTGACGCAGGGCCCAGTATTCCGGGATGGGAAAGCCAGAAAACCACCCTTCAAGATCGTTTGTCAGGGCAAGAAGCTGCCAAAACTAGTTAGTGTTCATCTTCTATGTCCAGCTACACAAGGGACCACGTGTTAAGAGAATGGTCAACTTTGCAGGTCACCCCAACCCCAATAAAGAGTTGAGGAAACACAAATGTAATTCCACACAAGTTGAGGGAGATGTAGGGAAAGCACGTCTTCCTGCAAAAGGGGGGTCACCCAAGCAACTTGGAGGATATCAGAGGCCTCCTGCAAGGCCAGGGGGCTGAAAATGGACTGACCCCTGAAGGGACAGAAAACAGATTTTATTATTCTTAAGAGAAGAAGTCTCACATTTGTATTTGTTTAATTTGGCCATGGAAGATATTTGCTTTCAGATTGTGTGGTGCATTTCAGCTGGTCAGAAACGCGTGTGTGCGGGTGCATGTGTGCATATGCATCTGTGCCAGTGAGGAAGGATGGAGGGCTATGCACATTCCCACACATGGGCTAATGGAGGAGGAGGATGCAGAGGCTCAGGAACATGGGCCAGGCTAAGAAGATTCCTCATCATCACTGGGGAGGACACAATTTGTGGGAGTTTGTAAAACAAAGACAGCATCCATTGCTCCATTTGATGAATATTTACTGAGCAAACACTATGTGCCACAGAGGTCTAGGTTTTGCAGTGAAGTCAAGGTCAGACCAGCAGTTCAACCTGCACACACTGAGTCTGAGGGGCCCTGGAGACATCCTACTGAGTGGGATGACTGGTAATATGTGACTGTTTAGGTTGAAGACAATGGGAGTGGGTAAGATTTTTCCAAGAAGTGGGTATGCAGTGTGAGAAGAGAAGAGGGCTAGAGCAGATGTGGAAGCAAGCTCACTGTTGAATGGCCAGGACTTATATCAGAGCAGCAAGGGAGGAGGCTCAGAAGACTGTGGTGTCTGGAAGCTTAGGACCAGGTGGAATCCCAAGCAAAGGCATGGTCAGTCAGCAACAAGACTCCCAAATCCAGTGATTCAGAACCTTTTATACCAGCTGTGACCCAGGGAGAGAAAGTTATTTGTCCTTATTTAGTTATTTTTCCTTTCTATGTTTTGTTATTCCAACTTAGAAATAAAAGCAGGGCTGGGATGGAGCTCAGTGGTAGAGTGCCTAGCACGCATGAGACCCTAGATTCCATCTCCAGCATCACAAAAACCTGTAACTTAGAATTTATAACAGTAAGTAGTACTAGTCATATTTTTTGAGGAAAGACTTTCCAGACCCATAGAGGTATCACATACCAGGGTCAGTCCCCTGAATAGTTTTAATAAAGAAAAGAGGTATAAACCTCAAACCTGCCAATGGGAAAGAGAGAGGGGATTTCCAGAATTCTGTTCAGGGAATACAAGAAAAGAAAGCAATAACTCTGCAAGTGAACTTGGGAGACATGGCCTTGTGCAAGGCAGTAGCCATCCTCAATTGGGAAGAAACCAATTTAGAGAAAACCTATGGGGTTTCATGTTCTCCATGAGCTGCCAGTCTTCCAGTCTAGAAGGATGAGAAGCAGCCTGTCCACCTGAGCTCAGTGGCAGCTTGTCTTCTGCCTCTACCCACCCCTGCCTGTCCCTAAGGAATATAGTGCTGCTATATAGTCAGTGTAGTGCTGCTCTAACACAATAGGAGTTCAGCATTCCTGGGTCCCCTCCTCCTCCACTCTATCAGTCCCAATGCCTCTGGCTGTCTGACTATTCCCCCCAATGGGTATCTGTTCCAGACACTTCTTTACTTCCTTCTCACTAAAATTCACCCTTTCCCAAACTATGAGCCCTTCTAAACTACTTGCAAATCTGGTGTCACTGAGCTCAGGTGGATATACATGACTTGAAATGCAACTTTCCCAGGGAATCTGAAGGCAGGAGAGTTGGAGGAGGTGATGGAGACCAGGCACAGCATCAATGCTTGGGTCCTGGCAGCAGGGGCCTAGTTTTGCCTCTCCAGGACACACCTCATAGTCACTGCCTTACCCTTGCCTCAGAGTCCACTGCTACCTTGTTTTCGCTTTTAACTCTGTGGTCTTCTTGGAGCAGGATTTCGATTTTCTTGATGTCATTCAGCTGAAATGCAGAGTGTGGTTCATTCCCTGGTTTTGCTGGCCATCAGCAGTCGAATGATCTTCACACTTGGGGTAGGTATTTGGCCATAGACGCGGATGAGATATTAATGAGATATGTGCAGTGGAGGGAGCTACCTTGGAAAGGTTAAGTCATCTCTGCTTTGGGGAAAAGTGACACCTGGCTTTTAAACAAAGTCTCTTAGAATTACTTTTCAGGTCATGGGAGTGTTCGGAGGGCCTGGGGCACAAACATGCACTCTAGAAGGCCCTCCTGTTTAGAATTTATGGCTTTTCTATTCTGAAGCACCCTTGAGGGTACAGTTACATAGTGCCTGTGTACAATACATATTTTAGCTTGGTTCTGAATAAAGAGAATTTGGGGGTAAGCTAGTTGGCCAATGAATGAGCCAGACCAAATGGACACAAGTGACATGCTCAATGAAAGGGACATTTCTCAGCCAGAAAGCAACAGGTGTGAGCTACTTGTTGGTGGTTCAGATCTACGATAATAAGTCCTCCAAATGTTCTATTCCGAAATAAACCAAGGCAAGTGTTATGGCCCAAACTAAAACTTCAGAGAACACTAAGAAGGTAGTTAACATGCTGAGAGGATTTGTTAGAAACACACAACTTTCAACCTTGCTATAAATCTCTATCTCTTGGTGTATTAATCATAACCAGACACCTTATTTCATACTTGTTAAATAAAATTTATAGGAGGCCAGTTTGGACTGAGTTCTTTCTGAACTAGGCCCAACAGACCTGGTCAAAATGGAGTCACTCATGCTTCAGGTCCACACCACCAAGCCCAAAACTAAGTTGTTTATCTGACCTTCCCAGAAATCAGGAGAGAGAGATAATGTCCAAATCTCTAAACAAGACAGTCTTAGCTGGTGTGATAAGGAAGTCCCACTCTGCTTTAACCCTTATAATAAGTAATCTGGTGTTAACCATTGTTTTCTATTATTCTATCTCTTTGTTGCTACTTTGCAAAATCCACTGTTCTGTGATTGCCCAGTAGAAGCTCTGTTTCTATTTGGTAGATTTGAGGCTGTTCCAACTCATGGATCTCAAATAAAAGCCAATTAGATGTGTTATAAAGCATACATAAAATAACATGGAATGAAGTACATGAGTAATATACAGTATGATCAGCAAAGTATAGAGATACAGATAGAAAGAGAATTATGTGCTATTTTTATATTTACAAAATATATTATGCAATAAGGTAGTTATGTGGTATGAGAATAAGCCCAAGCCATATATAACTCTCAATCTTTCTCTGTCTCATATATTAATCATATATACAGTTAGGAATTACTGATAGGGACATGTTCAGAGAACTGTGTCCTTAGGCAGTTTCACTGTTGTATTAACAATATTGAGTACACTGAAACAAATTAAGATGGTTACCACATTGCTACGTGATAAGATCTAATGGGACTGCTGTTGTGTATATGGTTTGTCATTGACCCAAACTTCATTATGCAGGGCATAACTATGTTTATTATTTTTATAATAAGGTATTCATAAAATAAAGTATACATCATGATAAATATATCATGTATATAGGGATGTTGATAAATATATCATGTATAAAGGGATGTTGGGAATTATATGTTACCACATTTATACAATAAGTTATATATACAATAAAGTATATAGTATGGTTAGTATTATAATAACTATTTAATGTTATTTATATAATCTTATTTGTATTTTATATTACATGTATATATAGCATACATATTATATAAAACCAACAAAAGCGTACTTCTCAGTGACTTACTAGATTATACTTGCTATTGTTGATCTCTTTCCGAGTTTCCAATTTCTTTTTTACCAACCCAATAGTACATGCTAATAGAAACAGAAACAGCAACAATGAAAACAATTATAACCTCAAAATATATATAAAGAAAATCTGTCATCTTATCAGGCTAAAATAAAAACTCACTATTTTCATGTGCTAAGCGTCTGCAATGGAGGTTAAACAAATGCTAATTTTCTAATCTGGGGATGACTAGCAAATAGTGTGTATTGCCAGAGATTAGCTGTTAAGATAAACACTCACAACCATACCTGCTCTTTTTTTTTTTTAAACATTAATGTTCTGATTTAGTGGAAAATCACTGCAGGGCACAAGTATAAACTAAAACAATTAAAATAATAAAGCCAATAGCAGCAAACTCCCAGTGAGTCTTACTACATCAAAGTAAGTAGCTGCCAACCTATGGAGCACTGCCCTGAGTCCTATAGGTGCTGGGGCAAGGGACAGGCCCAGGCAGGGTTGGGGGTAACCTCCAGGAAGCAGTCACAGCTGGCTGGAGCCCAGGGTGGGAGATGGCTGGCAAGCTTAGGCTCAGGAAGTCCCATGACAGAGGTTGCCCACAGGTGCCTAGTCCATTTGTTTCCTTCCATGGGCAAAGGTTCATTCATGCATTCAAATATTTATAGAGCAAATACTATGTTGACGTGCACTGATCTTGGCCCTGTAGAAATAAGGTGCCTGTTCTCAGAGAGCTTGCATTCTAGCACGGGAAGAGACAACCGACTAATATAGCAGTAAATGATAGAAAGTCAAGGAATGATAGTGCTATGAATGTCCAAGCTGGGAGTAACTCTGTTTCATGCCCTTGTTCTTTTTCAGGAAACAACTAACATGTACTGAGCACCCTCTATGTGCCTCAGCCTTTGTGAGATGAATTCCAGGAGGCAGAATTCTAAGATTTGGCCTCTGCTGTCTATATGGGAAGTGGGGGGGCCAACCATACGACACCATGCTCAGTGACAGTGCTTGCCCAGCATTTTCTGCACAGTTCACATGGAAAAGCTCAAATGATTCTCCCCAAACTCTCTGAGTGGGTCTTATCACCACTCCCATTTTATTTTATTTCTTTTTATTTAGTTTTATTTATTTTAAGACAGGGTCTCACTATATAGCTCACGCTTGGCCACAAACTCATGATCCTCCTGCCTCAGCCCCCCAAATGCTGAGGTTACATGTACCACCATGCCTGGCATAACACTCCCATTTTAGAGATGATCAGACTGAGGCTTACAGAGGGTGAATACTAAGCCCCCAAACCCACAGCTAGGATGGGGTGAAGAACCCCACAGAATGAGCTGTGAACCCTATCTTGCATGGGTGGTAAGAAGGGAGATCCTGAGAAACTGTGAGTTCCTTAAAGAAGGGCCTGCATCTGCTATGCTGTCCATATCTTCCTTAGTCTACAATGGCAGGTGCCAGGAGAAGGTCAGAAAACACTGCCCGGTTGCTCTCTGGTGACCTCACTTCAGGATCACTGAAATACCTTGCCCAGAAGGTGTTAAGGAATGTGATTCACCAGCCCTGATGTCCTCTCAATAATGATACTTTACTGGCAGATTGACAGTATTCGTAGTGGCCAGCCAGAACCTAGATCAGGGACCCTAAGAAAAGTGGTTAAAAGATCAAGGATGTAAAGATTAGGGAACATTTACCCAAACAGGGGCCCTCCGGGATGCTTAAGAGATAGGAAGGCAAAGCTGCCTAAGACTGAACAGAACACGATGTTTCATAGAGCTGAGTTTAAAGATTACTCTACTTCTGGTTAATGACATGTGATGACAGTGACTTAATTTCACGGAACCTTGGGTTCCTAGTCTAAAATGGGGACAACAATACTCATTTCAAAGGCTTCTTGTGATATTTGTGGGATAATATGGAAAGGGTTCAAAACAGTTCCTGGCACAGAGTAGGTGACAAATATTAGTTCCAACTCTCCTTCATGAGTAATTTCCAAATAACCATTAAAACTTCCAGTTTCTTACTCTTTTCTCACATGCAAACATATTTACCATCTGCTACATAAATAGATTTGAATATCTGCCTTTTTTAAGACCAGCCACATGGAGACACTGTAAGGGAGCAACACAAAAGCAAACAACAACAAAAACCAGAAGGCAAAACCAGAATGAGGAGCTATAAATGGGGTATCAGTTGATTAATTAACCTAGGAATTCTACCATGGTGCTGTACCTGTTGTTTTATTTTATTTTCATTTCTTGCCTTAGCAGACTTTGTCACGGATGGGGGTGTACTCCATGTAAGAGTTGTGGAAGCCCAGGGGACATGGAGGTTGGCCACTTAGATACTCTTCTGACTTATAAGGCAGTGTCATGAAGAGAAGGAGGCAGTAAGCTGCCCAAGTTGTGGCTTTCCATGGCCATGTCCAAGAAGCTGGGCTGTGCCTACTGTCCCATTGTATTCTAGCTTCTCCACTGTATCCATGAGCTGCCCCATGTCTTTTCAGAAAACCCCTTTTTCTTTGAAAGCTAGCTGGAGCTATGCTTACTATAAAGAACTCTTACTAAAGATCCTAGTCCTGGCCAGTTTAAACCCCTTGCTCTTCCATCATAGCAGGCTGCTCATGGTGACAGCCACTTACTCACTGCTCAAGGCTATAAATTCAGAACGATCTCAGGGGCCAGAGTCATGTATTTGAGAGTGGAGAAGCCTTGCTGGCTGTCACCCATGTACCACAGGAACCTGTTGATCATCTGTGTGCACAGCTCTGGTTGACAGCAAAGACTAATACTAGGAGAAGCAGTCCGGGCTTCATGACCAGCATTACCAAAGGCATTTGGCCTCCATGCTCTGAAAGCAGATGGAGCATTAACCACTCAATATGTTGATGTGACTATGAACATCAATATCCAGAAGCTGATCAGGACCAGACGCTGGTATTTAGGTACAAGCATCTCTCTCTCCCCTCCCCCTCTCGCTCCCTCTCCCTCTCTGGTTTCTCTTCTTAAAAAACAGAATCTATACAACAGTTTCTACTCCAACTTCAAAATAAGAGAAAACATCAAGCAGATTATTAAAACCTGAGGAATCATTGTGCAGCAGGCCTAATTAAAAAGATTCTAAGAATCCAGGGTTTAGTGATATGTAAAGAAAATATCATTGATGAATTGTTCAAGGGCAAGGATTAACGATGCTGAGCTGCAGAAACCTGAAAGCTAAATAAAGAATCGAAACTGAGGGGGCAGAAGGAACCAGGAAGGCCCAAATCTGTAGGCTTTCTGGCCCTCGAGGCTCATTTGCCCCTCAACTTCTAGGCTAAAGGTCTTGGGACTTAAAATAGCACTGACGGTAATTTATTCTTTAGCTCAATACCACCATACGTCAGAGGAGCTCATGTGGGAGAAGTGTGTCAATGCTAGGCCTTAAGAAAAGCAAATCACTGTGGCAACCCTGTCTCAGGCACCTGGCTCATTCCCAGTGCTGTCCTTTCCCTGGGTCCATCCCTGTTGGCCTCCACGCCTGCTGGTCTCCATACTCTTCCTAGCCCTTTACCCCCTCCCCTCTCCCAGGGAGGCTGTGACAGCAGTGCCCCTTCTTCCTCCAGTGTGAACTCTCAAGGGAAATGGGGAGGCAATTCACATTTGTCAAATCCTTACCATATACCAGCTCTGTACTAGGCCTATGGGGGCCATGCAAAAAAGCTGGGAAAGAATTACCTCCAGAAATGGGCTTTAATCTGGTATTTAATCTGTTATTACAATGGGAAAGATGGATTTGGGTAAATGTCAAATGAAAGATACAAATATTAAATGCTCACTTTTAGGCTTTTGCTTAAACCATTCCCTCTGCATGTAACACTCCTCCCTTTTCTTCACCGGCCAACAACTCCTATTACTTCCTGCTGGAAGCACATATAGACTCCCTCAGTTAGATTCAGTGCCCCTCCTAAGGTGTCCAAAGACCTTCCCTGATGTAGTATTCATCACAAGGACATAAGGAGGTTCCTATTAACAGCAAGGTCCACAAATAGGGAACAAGGGGACCGAATCTGGTTTACAACTTTATCCCCAGAGTACCTTACACAGTGCCTGGAATACAGTAGGTACTTAATAAATATCTAATGACTGAGAATGAACACAGGGGCCAAGAGGAGACCCAAAGAGTCTCTGTAAACTGAATGGAACCCACTTAGAAGACAGCAGACACCTTGGAGTACTTACTAAAGAAAGACCCATTAAGTAATTTTCTTCTGGAAACTTCATGTTGCCTGTGTCCAAACTTGGATACCAAACTGACAAAACAACACTACCTGAACCCATACAACAAGCACCAACCTGCTGGGGTATTAGTACCTGGCTTGGCAGTACCAGCCCTGTTGCTTACATCTGCCATGCTGTTCGCACAGATTAACTTGTCTTAAGTAATTCTTAATCATTTAAAATAGGCACTTCACTTACACACAATGAAGACACGTACAACTGGATTTTAATTCACATTCCATTTTGTTATGGTGGTAATCATGTAAGGAATGGACTCTGGTTTCATGCTTATTTAATCCTATTGTGAATTAAGAATGACTCACTGTCATAGGCTTAACCTTTGTTTTTCTCAAAGGATCCTTACTTATAAATGTACTAAGTGTCTCTATACTGTTAATGTTAGTCCATACTGTACTTGGCTAGGTGAAGTGACTAATTCATTTCCCCGCTCATGTTAATCATATCCAGGAGGGTGACCCTCCTTCCCTCTCCCCCACTTACACCCTGTCTCTAGCAACCAAACTTAGGTCAATATAGACTTCAGAAAAGATTCCTCCTTTCCTGATAAATCGATTACCATAAACTTAAACCTTTATTATTTCAGACCTAGTCATTGTTACCTAAAATGTCTACAAAAAGTCACTGTCATCAGCTGGTTCCAAAGAACTTTCTAGAGCAGCATAACATATCAAGAAGCAAACAATCCTCTTTGTTAACCACATAATAGGAACTATGACTATTTTTCCTACCAGCATTTGGATTACCGAGTTGTATAAATGTATGAGGTAATGAACATCAA